ATGTTATGTGTTTGAGGGCGAATGATCCTAAGCGGGGGAGAATGTAACACCCCAGGAAATATTTGAAGTACTTCAACACTATCAAGAAAAATTAATATGTGTGTACGCATGAGTTGCTATAGCCAGTTGAGACTAATATCGTGCATTATTATGAAAAATCAGACCTTTTGAAATGTTTGGAGTGTAAGGAATTGATCTTAAAGTTTACAAATATGGATAAAAGAAAGAAACTCAAATGAGATGATGTTGTCATGCTTATCTCAAATGTGGTATCGTGGAATCAACTATGAATATATGTGTAAAAGTAAAATCATCAATTTGGTAACCGCAGAATAATTCTTAGCACGTTCGAGGATGAACGTTTGTTTAAGAGGTGGAGAATGTAACGACCCGACTTGTCATTTTAAGAATTTACGCCCTGTTCAGTTACTTAAGGTCTCGAGCAGCCTCGCAATATGTATTATGACCCACGTGTGTGGTCGAGTTTGATTTACGAATGATTCGGAGTGATTTGGGACACTTAGTCCCTAAAAAAGGAAGCTTAAGTCTTAGAATTTTGACCGTAGTCGGGACTGTGTGAAGACGACTCAGGAATGGAGTTATGTCGGTTCCGTTAGCTCCATATGATGATTTTGGACTTAGGAGCGTGTCCGAAAAATTATTTGGAGGTCCGTAGTGAAATTAAGTTTGAAATGGCGAAACTCAAAATTTTGAAAAGTTGACCGGGGAGTTGACTTTTTCATATCGGGGTCGGAATGCGATTCCGAGAGTTAGAACAGCTCTGTTATGTCATTGGAGACGTGCCTGCAAAATTTGACGTTATTTCGGGTTGCTTTGATAGGTTTCGGGATGAGTTTTAGAAGTTAGAAGTTTTGGAAATTCATAAGTTCGATTTGTGGTGCGATTTGTATTTTCGGCGTTATTTGATGTGATTTGAGACCTCGAAAGAGTCCGTGTTAGGTTGTGGAACTTGTTGGTATGTTTAGACGGGGTCCCGGGGGCCTCGGGTGTGTTACGGATGGACTACGGACCATTTCCTTCTATTTTTGAACTGTTGTTTCTGTTTTCTGGTGTTATTCTTCGCGTTCGCGAAGTGTTACTACTGACCACCTTATACTTCTTCTTCGCGTTCGCGTTCAGTCCATCGCGTTCGCGAAGGTTTGTCTTTTCCTCTACCGCGTTTGCGATTAGACACTCGCATTCGCGAAGCTCTTTTTGGCAGCCTCATGTTTCTTCTTCACGTTCGCGAAGAGCATCTCGCGTTCGCGAAGGTTTCTATTTTTATTCTTCGTGTTCGCGGACCTTTGCTCGTGTTCGCATAAGTCAGTCATGGGCCATTAGATTTTTTCTCTCCTCGTTCGCGAACAACCCATCGCGTTCGCGAAGCACAACTGGACAGTTCATTCTTCTTCTTCGCGAATGCGATTCTTTCTCCGCGTTCGCGATGCACAATCACCTGGGCAGAATATAAGATTTTCAAATCGAGGGTTAGGCCATTTTTATCACATTTTGACTTATAGAGCTCGGTTTTGAGCAATTCCTTGTGGGATTTTCAAGCAAATCGATTGTGTAAGTATTCTTCACCTAGAATCTATTTATTTCCATGATTCTATCTTTATGTTTATCATTTAAATTGTGTTTTGAGTTGAGGAAAATGGTGATTTTTGAAGAAAAGTTTTCAAAATAAAAAATCACGATTTGAGGGACGAAATGGTATCGGAATTTGATGAAATTGGTATGGTTGAACTCGTAACGGAATGAGTGTTCGGATTTCATGAAAATCATGTCGGGTTCCGAGGGGCAGGTCCCGCGTTGACTTTTTAAAATAAATTTTTAAGTCGACGTATTATTATCCGGAATTGTTTCCGTTAAATTTGAATGAAGTTATACAATTAAATTGGATAGATTTGACCTGTCCGGAGGTCAATTCAAGCAAAAAGGCTATTTTGGAATATCGGCCTAACTTCAAAAAGGTAAGTGTCTTGCTTAACCTCGAGTGGGGGAATTTCCCCTTAGGCATTGAGTCTTATGTACAATTTGTGTAATTGAAAACCATGTACGAGAGGTGACGAGTACGTACTTGGTTTATATGTGCAAATTTTATTGAGTTAAAGTCTAGAGAATATTGTGTAGTAAATCGGATAACTGTTGGCATGTATTTAATCATCTACTTACCGTGCCTAAATCCTTGTTGTTGACTCTATTATTATATAACAATGTGATGCGATTGTTATTTAATTATTATAAAATTCTGTGGTGTTGCTGTTTGATAATTATTGGAACTTAATTTCATTTTGAATTTTTCCCTCTGCAAATAATTAATTAAATGAGCTTAAGAAGAGGTGTTTATATAATTATTGAAAATTTGATCTTTATGAAGACTTTGCTTTATGTTGAGTAATTTCTATCTCTATTTGATTATTTTTGGGTGTTGTATACATTGTGTGGAGCATTTGGCTATTTGTTGTGAAATTAATTGACTTGATTGTAGCTTTGGAATTTAGTTGTGGCCATTGGGCAAATTGTGATATGAATTGATTTTTGTTATGTTGCTGTGATAATTTTCCGTATAAATTATTGTGTTGTGTGAGTTGTTATTTTGGGGAGATAAGGGTGGCATTTCACGGTTGATATTATGTGGTTATAAGGGTGGTATTTCACTATTGTTGTGTTTGTTGGAATATTGTCTGGGCGGAGCGATAAGGGTGGTTATAGGAGTGATAAGGCTCGCTAGTGATATTGTCTGGGCGGAGCGATAAGGGTGGCTATAGGAGTGATAAGGGTGGTAATAGGAGCGATAAGGGTGGCTATTGTCAGAGACGATATGTGATGATGTGGGGTTGTGGTGATGATGATTTTTTATGTGAGGTTGTGATTTTTCTTGTGTTTATTTTATACCTTGTGCAATTTGTTTTGTTGTTGGTAAATTGATAACAATCTGATTTATGTTGAAATTGAGAGCCTGTGGCTATGGCCAGGCGAATTATAAAATTAAATGTGGGCACGAGGTGCCCTGAGTAAATAATAAGGATATTTGTTACGTGAATTGTCCGTGCAGTTGATATATGAAATGTGGGCACGCGATGATGTGATGAGATGATAATGATATTTGGCACGTGAGTTGTTCGTGCAATTGTGATATGAAATGAGGGCACGAGGTGCCAGGGAAATATGATGATTTAATTCTGGGCACGAGGTGCCATGAAAACATGAAAAATGGGCTGAGACCCGTGTTTATGAAAAATATGAAAATGGGTTGAGACCCGTATTTTTATGATTTTGAAATGAGGTATCACATGATGACTTTTTAATTGAAAGGTTTATATTCAAAATATTTATTTGGAAGGATTTTTACTTAGAAAATATTATATGAAAGATATTTATCTGAGAAAATTATATTTGAAAAGATTTATTGAAAAAATTATATTTGAAAAATAATTACTTGAGAAAATTATATTTGAAAGAAAATTATTTGGAAGAATTATATGTGAAAGACATGTATTTGAAGTACTTGATTTAATTGGGTGTAATTGTACTTATTAATTATTGAGCGATATTAATGGTATTCTTGTTATCTGCTGTGTATATCACTGGTTGTTTCATGTTGCTATATTGTTATTTATTTCCTATTATCTTATATATTATATTGCACAGGTTATTAGACTAGTGAGTGTCTTGATTGTACCTCGTCTCTACTCCATTGAGGTTAGTCTTAATACTTACTGGATACCGACCGTGGCGTAGTGATACTACACTTCTGCACATTTTTGTGTAGAGCCAGGTATTAAAGATAACAGACTTAAGCGGAGTTAAAGCGAGATCGTAAGGATTCAAGGTAGAGCTGCTTGGTCGTCGCAGTCCCTTGGAGTCCTTTCATTTCATTGTACTGTTAACTTGTAATCAAACAGTATTGTATATTCGGTCCTCGTGATCATTCTATGTATTCAGTTAGAGTTCGTGACTCAGTACTACCAGTATTGGGAGGTTATATATTGTAATTATTTCCGCTGTTAGTTTTGATTATTTATTTAATTAAGAAAAATGGCTTCAAAAATGCAATGGAAATCAGCTTATCTAGTCTTAGAGACTAGGTGCCTCACGACTCCTATGGTGGGATTTTGGGTCGTGACAAGAATGAGTAATGAAATTCACTCCCCGGACAATAGAGATCTCGTACATCTCAACTTCTTAAATTTTCATTTTTGGGTTTGGTTTAGGTAACAATTATGTTCCTTACCAACGATTAGGACTAAAACTCTACGAAAAGGAACTTTATATTAGATCTAATTTCTTAGGATTAAAGAACATAAAAGTAGATATTTGTGTAGTTCTATGAATGTATAAACCCTTACCACTATGAAGAAAAATTAGAATAAAGTTACCTTGTCGCCAAATTGGTATTGGCCAGCGCTAGGGAAGTTAAAGAGCACCTACCACATAATATTGATAGAAGATTATGACATGAATCATTCGTACTGATAACGTGTTATAAAATATAGCTCGGAGTAACAATATAGAATAAGGAAAAACAAGCTAAGAGATATAGAGAGAAAGAGATGAGAGATTCTTATTTTTTCTTCAATTGTGATATCTTTCCTATCTATTACAAGGTCTTTATATATGCATGAAAAGTGAAGAATCACTATTGTAAATTAGTGAGTGGAATGACCACTATTGAGAAAAATGGTCATTACATAAATATGTCATTGAATATCTCATTAAGCATTTGAGAGGAAGATCATGAAGGAAGATCATAAGGGAGGTTATGGAGATAATTGAATATGTCATTAAGCATTTGAGAGGAAGATCATAAGGGAGGTTATGGATATAATGGAGAAGAGTAGTGAGCATTAATCCTTTGGTGGTCATGGACCTCCACCGTAATTCAAGATTTTATAACAATAACATTTATATATAATATGTGTATAATCCACCTATATGACTTTTGAAAAAGTAAAAAGTGAATTCATCTCACTATTTGGGTAAAGATTTCCTTGGATAATTAAATGGGCTTTGAGTTGCTTTCTTGGGCTTCGGTGGGCTTAGTCTCAAAACAGTAGCAAAGCACACCGGTGACTCCATCGTCGACGTGAACGGTGCTAATGGTTTCTGAAAACCTTTTTGGTGAAGTCGTTCCTGTACTCTAAAACCAGGTTCTACTTTATGGTTTCTGAAACAACGTGAATTAAACTTTGTCTGAGCGCAGAATAGTACGATGTATTTGTCTTCTTGTTCATCTGGGAATGCTTAGTTTCTTCTTCTTTTTTTCTTTCAATAGAAGCAAAAAATGTTACAAACCGAACAACAAGCAACTGTTCTTGTTCCCAAATTGCTGAAACTCCCACCACTCAAAGCTCTTACGCTCTTCACATCCTCAACAGAACAAGGCTTCCAACAAACTCATCAATCATTTTCCATAATCATAGATCAACTTCTCTCATGCAACGCGCTCTCACGCGCTCAATCGCTCATCTTACAGTTAGTTTCTGGTAAAATCACTTCACCCCATTTCACAGTGTCTTCCTTGCTTCACCATTTGACACATACCCAGTTCTTAAATTCTACTCCTTTATATGAAATCATCATTACTGCCCATGTTCAATCTCAATTAGTAGATAAAGCTTTGATCTTTTTTAATCAAATGATTGATAAAAAACTTGTACCTACATCAAATACTTTTAATAGTATACTTTCTTCTCTTATAAAGAATGGATTCTTTGAAAAGGGTTGGTCTATTTTTGAAGAATCAATTGGAAAGGAGTTCTTGGATATGCATAGTTTTGGGATAGTGATAAAGGGTTGCTGTGAAAATGGTGACTTGGATGGTGCCTTTGAGGCGTTAGCCAAATTGAAAAACTTGGGTTGGCTCCCGAATGTTGTAATATATACAACAATAATCGATGGATGTTTTAAGCAAGGTGATGCTGGACGAGCAAAGGAGTTGTTTAATATAATGTCGGCTGAGGGTATCGTTCCTAATCAGTACACTTATTCTGTTTTGCTTAGTGGTTTCTTTAGGCAAGGGCTTAAAACTGATGGCTTTGAGCTTTATGAGAAGATGAAGCTTGACGGAGTGTTTCCCGATATATATACTTATAACTCTCTTATTAATGTGTATTGCAGCGATGGAAAAGTTAACAAAGCGTTTGAATTATTTGATGAAATGCAGCGTAACGGGGTAGTGTGCAATGTTGTAACTTACAACACTTTGATTAGAGGGTTATGCCAAGAGAAGAGGGTATCAGAAGCTGAGAAATTATTGGAACGATTAAAGCAGGCTGGCTTGCACCCTAATTTGGTCACATACAACACTCTAATAGATGGGTATTGTAGCGCTGGAAAGCTTGAGAAAGGATTAGTTTTGTTCAATCAGATAAAGTCCAGTGGATTAACACCTACTTCAATCACATATAATACTTTAATTGCGGGTTTCTCTAGAGCTGGAAATCCATCAAGGGTTGTTGACTTTGTTCGTGAGATGGAGGAAAGAGGCATATTTCCTTCAAAAGTCACATACACAATTCTAATTGATGCATTTGCTCAATCGAAAGACATGGAAAAAGCACTTGAAGTGTTCTCGCGTATGCATAAAGCTAGTTTGAGTGTGGACCTTCGTACATATGGTGTCTTGATACATGGATGGTGTAGTCAAGGGAATATGAAGGAAGCATTGAAGTTGTTCCGATCAATGGCTGAACATCATCTGAAGCCTAACGATGTAATATATAATATGATGATATTTGGATACTGTAAAGAGGAAAGTTCGTATAGAGCCTTGAAGCTGCTCAAAGAAATGGTTGAGAATGGAATGGTTCCAAATGGAGCAAGCTATTGCTTGACAATTGAAGCTCTTTGTAATGATGGGAAATGGAAAGAGGCCAAAGTTCTTGTCAATGGCATGATAAAATTTGGTCTAAAACTTTCAGTTTCATCATGTGATCTGATTCAAAAGGCAATGAACATGACAACTTAAGTATATTGTGAAGGTGGTCCCTAAATTATTTGCACAGAATGAGCAACGGGAATGAACATTAACTGAAAAAGGGGTGAAGCCTAAAACACCTCAGAATGCCTTGTGCTCAGTATCATGGGAAGCTTCACTGCAACTAACACCTTTTGGTATTGACCGGTGAGTGTTTATTGCAGTTTCATGTCATTGGTTTATATGTTATGTTTCTAGTGTATCTAGTGAATTGTGTGGCCATTCTCTTGTTTCATGTTAATGTAGTTCATGTTATTATTTTGCAGCCCTTCTGCTAAAGATTATGCAGACCACTTAATCACAAGCTTACTCTGATTCTTGACAGAAAAGAAAAGAGGAGGCCTTCTTAAACACGTTTGTAAATGATTTGGATATTATACTTACTACAGAAGTCTTGTCAACTTGGGAGTTCGGTAACAGCTGCATGCTACTTTTTTTCATCATATGAGGCATCAGAAAAACTTGTTCATCTGTGTAGACCTGTCTCAGATTAGGTTGAAGATACAAACTATAATAGTTATTAGGGTCTCTTGTTGTTGTTAGTGCTGTGTTTTCTCTATAAAAGGAGCTTAATGAAGTTGGGATTACTCTTTTTGGGTGGGAGATGAGGTGTTGGGCTCACCAAAGTTCTTGAACCAGCCAATAGAGCAGCTGATCTTTATTCTTCAGACCATTCATCTTATATTAAAGGGCAAATTAATATTTTGGACAGGTCATTATGCATGCAAGAGTTTAGCTAAAGTATCTGATCATTATAATTGACGAAAGACTTTACTATGTCTTATTCCTTTGCTGTATTTCTCTTTTAGGAACATAGTTATAAATAAATCTTCTGCCTTCTTTAGAGGTAGTGGTGAGACACGGTTATGGCGGCTGCTGCTGCTGCTGCTGGTACTGCGAATAAATATGTGTGTGTGTGTGTGTGTGGGGAAAGCGGGAAACTAAAACTCAAGATCAACCACACTTTCACTGTTTAAGGGGCAGCATCTCCTCCTGTTTACTGAAGGATCAATACTTTGAGTAATAGGAAAATAATCGATATTATAATTGTAAGCATAGTCATTATAGATTGATGCATTTTTTGCTGTGGAGGTTTCCGTAGTAGGATGAGCAAAAGTTTTTTGAAGGTATTTGTTGGTGTTGATCTGAATATTGTGTCGAGAATTTCGAGTAAGCAGCTATTAGTATTTGAATATTTTGCACAACCCCCGAATTCTGTCACCAAAGAAACTAGCTAATGGTATAATCCAGTTTTACTGATGTACTTATCTTTGGCTTGCTCTTCAGCTGTTCTATATTGATGCACATTATTTCAGTTGTTGCCCACTTTGGATTACATACTATTCTAACCCCCAGTCCCTCACAAGCCTTCTGATTCCACATTGCCTTGTATCTGCACTCTCAAACTTGGACCAAAGTTGTGAGAAGGTTTACATATTGGTGGTTCCTCATATTATTGCTTCCTTTTATTTCTCTGCTAAGTGTGGGAGAATTACGCTCCTTATCACTTGGTCCAACATCCCATCAGAAAATGGCTCACGTTTGAAGCCTTTATCTGATATGTCCCAGGTTGTGCATAATCTGAAAATTACTTTTCACCATTAGTTCATCCCATTTAATTGTTTGTTTTTTTCTTTCCTTCTTCTTCTCCAGGGAGATACGACTTTGCACCCTAAAATTTCTCTACCATTATATTTATTCTTTAATTCTCCTTCCAGATTCAAAGCTGATAACCACTATTTAGATGAGAAGAAAAAATACTACGTAAAAGAATTATTTCTTTTTGGAGTCGTATGAAGATCACTTCCTCCATTGGAATGGAGAGAATTGTGAGGTTCGCTTGGTAGGTTGTTGGATCATCAAACTAGAAACAAGATGTTGGCATTGTCTCAGTCTTATCCTCATTCCACATGTAATTTTAATCTCAGTGGTTGATTAAAAACTTGAAAAATAAAAGTCACCGTTAAAGGTCGTTCGAGCTTCAATTTCAGAAATTGAATTTTTCGATTTGTTAGTTGTTTGGATTGGGTGTTGTCCCAATTGGTTGGGATCAAGGGAAGTTCAAAACTCAAATTTGAAGTGATTTGGAGTAGATTTAAGCTATATTTGAGTTAAATTTCAGAAGATGTTCAAGGAAGAATAAGAACCAGTGAAGCTCTATTGATAGGATTCATTTGTATAATAGTGTATAATATTATATAAGTAGTGTATAATAGTGTGTTAACACCATTTACACATTATTGTATACAAGGTTGATACATTATTTACAGGTATTTGAAGGATTTCTCACACTTCTTATACACCTATATATATTGTGTATCACGAACATTTTCACTACTGTGCTTATACATCTTTATACACTTTTTAACAGCTATATATATAATGTACCTCTTTGTATAAAAGTTTATAACATTGTATAAAAATGTATAAGCATATTTGACGAACTTTTTGTACGATTTCACTATAATTCTTGTATAAAACTAGTCCAAATCTCCATCAAATGACTTCAAACTTTGTATATAGCCTACTTAGACTATTTCTAATAAGTTCAAACAATACCCCCTCCAAATTTCTCGTAAAATCATATTCGAAATATAACAAGATTAGCATTAAAGGAGATGGGATTTTAGGTTTCTCGCATCCATCTTTACGTTTTATAGTTGTGATAGGTATGTATAAACTTGAGGAAAAGGGAGAATAAAAACTCACTGATATTTCAGCCTGAAGATATTCATAATCAAAAAAACAAAAAAATAATTCGGATCTAAGCTTATTGATATTTGGCTACATATTTGTAAACTTGTAGGTCTAACTTATGAAGTGCATTATTCGTTGTAAATCATAACTCTTGTCTATGTGCATATGAGTTTAGCAAAGATGGTTCCAAACCCGAATAAATGAGGGTTACTTATCAAACAATAGAGAGAAATTGTGGTAAGTAGATAGCTACTATAAAAATATTTTAACTACGAAGAATCCGTGCGAGTAAGAGGGTAGTTGGCGAAATTATATAAATTGAATGGAACTTCAGCTTCGACAATCGTATCATCCTTCCAGCAAATAAGGTGGAGTGGGCAAGGTAGAGAAGACATGAAAACACAAGCTCAAACTTCAGCATTTTCATTACCTGCGGAAGTAAAGTAAGCATTTCCAGTGAATAAGAATTAGAATTTTCATTGGGTCGGGAGCTAAGAGAGATTGAAAAGGTTTAAATAAGAGTATGCCTAACATCTTTCGCTCTCTTATTAGAAGAAGGAAGGGGCGCGACCCCACTCAGCTCGAAGAAGTAGCTCTTTCAACTAATCTATGCTTTTCCTTTCTATCTCCTCGCTACTATAAAATGTTGAATTTCTTTTTATTTTCACTGGCGAAGATGATTTCCGCTAACAACTTGTTTGGATGGTTGTTACATATTGTATTGTATCGCATTGTTACTTTAAATACGATGTTTGTTTTGGTTGTTACTTAAATTTTATTGTATCGTATCGTTAAATCCGTCGTTACGTAACGACGAAATATGCCACTTTATGTAACGACCGATTTGGTGTGGTTACGTCGTTATCTTATCTTTTTCTCTCATCTCACCCTTCATTATTATTAAATAATTTTATTTTATCATTTGCCCTATCTTTTTATATAATAAATTTACCATGTATCATAATTTTTCTTTATAATATTGCAAGTTTATTCTCCATATTGCTGATGTGTGATATCATGAAACAACAGCAAACGATACAATCTATCCAAACATTGTATTCATCAAACGATACAATACAATACAATACGATACATTATGAAACGATGTGTAACAACTACCCAAACAAACTGTAAGGCTTCTAGATGAGTAGGATCTTAATGATACGTATAGTTGATTCCAACTAGTTTGTTTTAAGACGCAGTTAATATATACTATGGTCTAATAGTTGTGGACTTGTAAAAAATTTCTGGAAAAGTTGAGCCCTCAATTTTGAAATAGAAAAACTATAGATTGATTGCATACGGAATAGTATCTTGAGAGGATAATAAAGAGAGAATAGATCCATAAAGTGTAGTACCAAAAGAAGAAAATTTATCAATTATAGTCATGGATTTACTTTACCATATAGAAAGGTTCTTTTGGTCATAAAGTTTTTTTCTTTTTTTCTTCATTTTCTTTTTTTGGACAGAAGGACCACCATATTCTGAAAACGGAGTACTGCTCATTCTTTAAAAGCAAGGCTTGCTCAGTTGTTAAAGCATCTCCACCCACGACCGTAAGGACCTGAGTTTGAGTCACGCCGGAAAAAAAGTGAACGATATATATCCTCCTAATTTTTAGGAATTTTTTTAAAAAAAGTACTACTCCTTTCATGTGGTAATTGGGACCAGAGAACTCCATGTATGAAAACTCACTGACAACATGACCAATGAGGAAGAAATTGCAATCAGTATACAAATTTCAGTTTGCAAAAATAAATACTAGGTTGGGGACCATATTAGGTTAGGAGACTTAGAGCTCGTTTGAACATAAGAATTTTTTCACTTTTTTTCGAAATTTTTTTATTTTTTTTCGAAACCAGTGTTTGGTCACTAAATTTTCAATTTTCACTTGAAGATGAATTTTGGAATTTTTCAAAAAATTAAAAATTTTCAAAAAGTTATTTTTCAAAATTTTCACTCGGATCACTCACAAAACTTCAAAAAATAACTCAAATTATATTTATGTCCAAACACAACTTTAATTTTCAAATACCATTTTTACTTGAAATTTTCTTTTACTTTTTTATGAAATTTTACAATTCTTGTGTCCAAACGCCCACTTAATAGCCAACAATTGTTTGATAGTCATCATATCTAATAGAGCAAAGTCTAATAGTATGATATGTGTATCAACCATAAAGATTTAAGTTATATACAGTAACAATGTAAAGATTTTGTTACATGATCAGCGTATTTTAACATATTATAGTAATGGATTTTTTAACCAAATAAACAATTGTAATACTTATCATAAAATGTATCCTAGTTATCCTATGATCTGATTGTATATATATATTTTTACATCTTAAGTCATAAGACTTTGAGATATTGGATCGATAATAATAATAATGATAAGTAAATAGTGAACAAAAATTTGACAGTAATATCCTTTTCTCAAAAATAACATTTTCTAGATGGGTTGGGATCAATATGCTATTTTTCTGAAAAATGTTCCACTAATTCCTCTTAAGAATATTCACCTAATCGTCAATTTGATGCTATATTTATCTTCCTTTTTCTTCATTCTTTTCAATCCATTTTTATTATTGGAAAGCAAACTAATATACTACATGATTTAGACCCTTACACCTGCAGAAAATGGTGGGACCCTTTTCTTATTAAATTGTTCCTTACAAAATTAGGATTTCCATGAAAGGGACGGCTAGGTTTGTATTGGAGTATACTGCATTATTTGAAAAAGGTGATGCCGAGTTCACGTGTTCAACAAATGTTCTGCCATATTTATTACTACTACTTTTTTTTTTTCTGTAAAATAATTAGTACGTATATTGTTTCCTTTTCTCGGATTTGATCATATAAATCTATTCATCTCTTTATCCTCCAACTCAAATACGATAATCTATTGAAATGGTTTATTCTCAAAAATCGCTTATTCTCATATACTAAGGGTGTGTTTGGTACGAAAGAAAATATTTTCAATGGAAAATATCACTTATTTTTCTGAAAAATGAGTAGTTTTATCACTTATTTTCCCTTGTTTGGTTGGTGAGTGAAAAACTTTTTTCGGAAAATATTTTCTAGTGT